AAAACGACAGCAACTTGTCTGTTCCCCTTCCCCCAAATCCCCAGCACTGTTCCCATACCCCCAATTCCCCAATAAAAAATCTTTAAAAAAAAAAAAGAGTGCGAGCTCTGAGCAACAGGGTCACTGGTTCAATTCCCACATAGGCCAGTGAGCTGCGCCTGAGCTGAGCTGCCGCTGAGCTGCCAACAGGTGGCTGAATGGCTCAGCTGGTGAGAGCACATGCTCCTAACAACAAGGTTGCCAGTTCGAGATGGTGGGCTACGCCCACCCACAACTAAAGACCGAACTCAGCATCTTGAGCTGAGCTGCAGCCCGGGTGGCTCAGGGGATAGAGCATGCGCTCTTAACAACAAGGCTGCTGGTTCGACTCCCTCATGGAATGGTGGCTATGCCCACCCAAAACTAAAAGACTGAAGGCACCTTGAGCTGAGCTGTCACCCAGGTGGCTCAGGGGATAGAGCGTGCTCTCTTAACAACAAGACTGCTAGTTCGACTCCTGCATTGGATAGTGGCTGCATCTACCCGCAACTAATTGAACACAGCACCTTGAGCTGAGCGGCACAACTGTACTTGGAGCTGAGCTTGCTGCGTCCTCCACGACTAAGATTGAAGGCTGTTCCCCTCCCGTAATTCCCCAATAAAATCTTTAAAAAAAAGGACTCTTGTTTTCCTCCCACGTTCGGGGCGTGCCAATGACTAAAAGCTCATGAGAACGTGACCCAGGCCTACCCAGTGGGCCAACAGGAGCAGCTCCTGATAGAATGTCACACAGAGCAGTCCACGTTGTTGAGCAGAGCTTGCCCTGTAGAGAAGCCTCAAGCAGCCGTAGATCAGAGGCCAAGTTGGATGCGATGAAATGGCAGAGTTTATAGACCCCAGGGGGCATTTGCCACAGGCACCAGAGTGGGGATGCCCTTCCACTTGTGTTTTGAAATGTTCTAGGAGATAGGTCCCCTGTTCTGGTTGGTCCCCAACAGTGCGAGGTCTTGGAATGCAGAGATGACGGAGAGGCCTTGCTCTCCAAAAGCTTATGGTCAACTGACGAAACATACAAAGAAGATGTGGGAGAGGTGCTCTGAGAGGCATAAACACAGGATATGATGAGAGTAGGGGAGGA